GTGTAGGCTATGTGATTCTCAGTATACACTTATTTAATATTGCACTTTTTACCTACGAGGCGTGATTTTCAGCTTGCAAATAAAAGTTATGGGCAAGTATTTCAATATGGCATACCCTCTTTTGCTAATTGCTTATTGCGTTCTAGCCTGTCGTTGTCTGAAATGGTTTAAATTTTAATCCTAATTGTATGCTTTGTTAACGAAGTGATTTAATTACTGCTGTAGAAATGAAATACCTTAACTTTGTACCAAATTTTATTTCATAGATTGTTGAATGCGGTGTTGCTACTTATGCAGTTCAGTTAATTATACTCATGATGTGATGTTGGTAAATTGGTAGCAATTTAAAGTTTCCAAACTGTTTTCCCATACAGCCGTGATTAACGTACTTCCATCAGTTGGAGACAGCTCAGTTTCACAAAGTTGCACGTGAGATGCTAAACTGTGCAATTTTCCACTGAATTTCCGTAGTTTTCACAGTACAGTTGACGAACCCGCGAGATCAACGCCGATAATACAGGAACTCGTCATAGGACATAATCCTGAGCCAGTTTAATCTACCCCTGATTCGCATATCCGCATAGTTTGTCTTGATAATATCCACACTAATCTAAGTTTCTAATCTCCGTTTCGGTTTATCAAGTGTACATTTACCAACTGGTCTTTCCAACAAAATCTTTTATACAGTTTTTTCTACAACGTCTTAGTCGCACGCTAATAGTGTACATTTACCAACTGGTCTTTCCACCAAAATCTTTTATACAGTTTTTTCTGTAACATCTTAGTCGCACGCTAAGTGTCCTGGAATTCAGTATTCTAGCAACATTATGCATTTATAATCCAAGTTCCTCACTGTGTAGTGTCCCAAGTTGTTCATTATTTCGCCCTTCTTAGGTCCAGATATTCTCCTGAAGACTTTATATTATTTATTTATAATTAATAGTGTCTGTCAGTAAATAATGAATTGAAAGCTATGTGAAGGGAATCGATAGTGACTTAATTTGAACTACTATCCACCCATTTTCTGAAGGAAAAACTACGAAAATATCAAGTTATCTTGTTTCCAGGCCGATTTTTCTAGCCAGGACCTCCAAAAACTAAACGTGAGCGCCAACAAACCGAACTCCGCGTTCGGTTGACCTTTGTTTGTTTCTTTAAATTTCTAATTTAAATTTTTCCTTCAAAGAAAGAGACCAGGTTTCACATCCATACGTTATAGTTTTGTGCATTCTGTTATAAATCTAGACAGAAACAATTTATGTATATTTAGCTGTTCTTCTAAAGTGACATTCAGGATTTTATTTCTTTAATGCAGCTATTCTTAACATGCTAAGACCTGGGATAGATTTCATGCTGTTTAATCTGAATCCGGGCCGTCGGGTTATAAATGGTTCTCGTCTTACTCATTAACATTTTTAACAAAATACTAAAATAGATAATGTCAGATTAATTAGTTTTGTTGTGGTGAAGTTACTGTGCAGAACTTGCAGCACTTACTATGAAACACATGCCCTCATGCTTATCGTGAAACGTTCCACAGAATGTCTTGGTGGCAGGATAACGTCGTGACGCCTGTGGCGGTGGTGCTGATACCGGAAGGAAGGTAGCGAGACTTCTGAGTGTTAGTCTAGACGGTAGATGGTTACCAAACGGGGAAGATCGGTACATTGTCGATTTGATTTATATGTTAATCGGGTGTGTAAGGCAGAATGAACACGACTTGGGACTGCAGCAACTGTCGCTCCGTGGCATATGAAATGACGCCAGCAGGCGGTGCAGTAACACAAAGTAGAGCTAAAAGCGAGGCCTTCTACTGTCATAAAACTTGTGCATGTGTCAGAATGTAGATATATTGCAAGGAATTTCTTTCTGGCCAGTTTCCGACTGGCCGTGTTCACCGGGTTCTGAAGAAGAGCCTTGTATTAAAACACTTGCTGTAGAAGGTAAAGGTAGATTTTCCATCGTGAAGTGATTGAATTAGATATTTTTATACCCGGAGCAAATTCGGAGATCTGCGACGCCATATTAAAATTT